AGTTGAAGCATTTGGTTGGAGCTATATCGAGGGATGAGGAAGCTCTGAATCTTATGGTGGTCGACGGAGGAACAGACCGAAGAATAACAGCAATTTGTTTTGTTTCTACTGCAAACGTAAGGGACATATTCAAAAGGATTGCGATAAGTTACAGGTTAAAGGTGATTTAGCTGTAAATCGTGGAGTGCAACATTTGACTTCAAACAAAACAAATGTAGTTGAGGATTTTTCAAACTGTGGAGATGTGATGTTGATCGTGGTATTTGACGTGGAATCTAGGCCTGACAAGGAGTGGATTCTCGATTCGACATGTTCGCATCATATGTATTCCAATATAAATTTCTTTCAGACATATAAGGCTGTTCAACAAGGTAGAGTTATAATGGGAAACAATCAATCTTATCGTATTGCTGGGATCAGTCGAGTCAGATTTAGGCTAGCGGGTGGGACAATCAGAACAATTGATCGGGTTCGGCATGTTTCAGATCTGAAAAGGAATCTCGTCTCGTTTAGTACTCTGATGCAAAAGGATATAACTTTTTTGGTGGAGGTGGAGTCTTGAAGGTCCGAAAGGGTGTCCGGGTTGTACTTGAAGGACGAAAAAGGTCTCAATTGTACATCTTGCAGGGAAACGCAGAACCAGTTAAAAGACATCTGGATGAGTTCAATACCGTGGTGGATATTCAGTTTGGTACAATACCTCTTGTGATGGGCTTTGGGTTGGTTCAGAACATTGCTCGAGAGAGCGTTTGTGATTCCACTTTGCCACCAATTTCAGTGGTTGCACTGTATTCAGTTGTTAGGGTTGGATCCATTAAGTGTAGGTACCATGGTGTCAATGTTGTCTGTAATACTTTTGGGGATATTGAAGGTAACAACTCTAGTAAGGAGCCTTCTGTTCAGGATTTTGTATAGTTTCTGCTCCAGGGTGTGCTTTGACCCTATTTGGTAAACATTAATTCCTTAGTGGATTTTGGAAATTTGGGAGTAGGGTTCAAGTGTCACTTGTGGATGCTGTACAGAGGACAATGGTTTGTATGGAGAGTTTTGGTTACTACGTTGAGGAGATTGGTCATTTCATTTTGATGCAAATGAGTTTATTTCTCTGGTGGAACAATTTTGTGGAGCTCTGCTCATTGCACCAGAATTTAAGTCAAGGTGGAGATTGTTAAGTTTTGTGATTCAAATATGGTTAGGAGTTTTGTAGGATTGCGTATTTGATTTTTTACTTGGAAAGTAAAATTGTATTCAAGTTGAATAAGGAAAGGAAATCCTCCCTCAATCAAAATTCTATGCACAATTGTAACCTAATTTTAACAGATTTTCTTAACTTTTAAGACTCTTCTAGGGTTTCAAAGGTGGCGCTTATAAATACAAGGCTCCTCTGCCAATTTTGTTTATGCATAATTGTTATGTCTGTAATCTCTCTCTATATTGTCAGTTAATATATATCGTTCCTTCACAATTAACTCTCTTTGTTCTTTTTTACTTTTAATCTTGTTTCTTGTTGTGATCTTTATTACTACATGTTGTGTCATTAATCTCATTCATTACAATATCTCCTAGGCCAACAATAGATATAATTAATTAGGAATTTGTGAGTGAATAAAAGGTGTTCTAAAATGTAAATTATGTAGTAGGTTGGATTTTTCTCTGATATGTTCGACTTCAGAGTGAAAATTGAAAAACTATTTTCCCTATAAGGATTTTCAAAAGAAACAATGGCAGAGCATATTTATGTAATTGCTTGATTAGTTGATTAAATGGCGTGAATAGAAAATAGGACCCTACTGTGTGCACAAGCAGGCTTCGATGGGAGTATTTTTTGACAATTTTTTATTTACAATAAGTCCCACACATGAAAGTAATTTGACCAAATTATATGGAACAATTTATGTAAAAATGACATTCTCCTAGAAAATATTAACTGAGGCTGGCGGAAGAGTCCGAACAAGTTTGTCTTCGAGGTTGTATGCAAGGAGCAATAGTAGACCCCACTCTAGTATCTTTTACACGTGATTATCTAATTCCAAAATGATAAGTCTCTTGAATTCTTGTCTGGGTGCCACGATTCTGGTTTTCACTATTGTACTTCAACTAACACTTTAAATGAGTGAACAAATATCTTTAGAGATCAACCACACATATATTTCTTATTTAAAATAATTTTCTTCCTAAGCCATTTTATTTAAAAATTTAAATAACAAACCATGATAGGTGTGTAGATTTAATAAATAGATGACAAAGATTTGACTCACAAAATGTACTTATTTAAATGTGACTTGACAATGCTTTTTGAGATTAAAAATCGGGGAATCCTATGAAATGTGTGTTAAAAAGTAGATACAAGTTGCGAGTCGAGTAGAACGCATGGTTAAAAATAAAGTTTGATTAACTTATAATCTCAAAAAAGCTTTGTCAAATAGGAGCTTAATATCAATCATCTAAGTTTTAGAAGAAGAAGAAGAAAAAAAAACCTTAATTTTATTTTTATTATTATTATTATTATTATTATTATTATTATTATTTCTTCCTTTTGCCCTTATATATATATATATATATATATATATAGTTTAGTATTAATTACTGGGTTTAAAAATAGTTAAAATAATAAGTTGTAAAGGAGACAGAGAAAGGAAATCTTGGCTTTAGCGAAAAAAGGGATGTTTTGACAATATAAGATAAACAAGCGTCACATGAAAATAAAATGGCATTGACAAGTAAAACTCTGAGTAGCAGAAAACAGGTGCTCAGATTGGGACACCATCCAATCATAAGATAAAGAGATTTGTTTGATTGCCTAATTTACATATATTAATTTCCCAAATAAAAATAATAATTAAAAACTCTTAGAAATCTATTTGCGAAAGCTATGGATTAAGACAATATATAAAAGTTTTTTGACAACAGCTTTTGAGTAAATTTTTTAGGACATTTTGATTATAAAAAAAAAATAAAAAAAAAATAGTTAAATGTATGGTTTAGAAGTTGATAAAATTTGTGAGTCGATGAAATGTGATTATCAGTCGACTTTGATCATAATTTTTTTAACAATTTCTTAAACTATTTTGAGCAAGCACTTAGTCGATCGAGTGGAGACTCCACCATACTATGATCAATATTTGAAAATTTGTTTTATTGGCCACAGGGACGGACCCAAAGTGAGTCCTGGTGGCGCACGTGATCCACCAGCTTTCATTTTTTTTAATCAAAAATCACATTTTCGCCTGAATTTCCCTTTTACACTTTGCAGAACCAAGAAGAAAAAACTGTTAACAACGTCCAAATTGGAAAATCAAAACTCATTCTATTCAATTTTAGCTTCATGAGATTCCATTCAGCACTGCTAATGCGATTTTGCTGCTGACTGCTCGTGTGGTTTTAATGTGTATTTTATGAACCATAAATGTAGTTCAATTAAAATGAAAAGCTTGGTGCAACTGAATAATTTCATTCATCCCAATTATCTGGCTTTAAAGTATAAACATTTGCTTCTCTCTGATTTCTTGCTAGATGTGGTTATCCCTAAATATGGGTCTATTGCCTTGATACGATATATGTGTTGGCTCTTGTTTCTTTGCATAGGTCAACAAGAAATATATGTCTGAAAATTAGCTTGATGACTTTTACAAGAGAATGCTACTACTCAAGAAGAAGAAATAAGTAACAGTAAAAGTGCAGTTTAAGGATGGCAAACCTTATGATGTTGCTTTTAATATATCTGTTGAGTGTTCATGAATTTGAGTTTGGTGCTAACCATTGAGCGGAAAGGACTTGATATGGTTTGGCAAGATTGGAGCTTGCTATTAAAGGAATTGGGTGATTTCTACCTCAGTCAAATATTTAATGATATCTGTTGGATAGCATATCCCCGAATTTCTACATTTTTCTCCTGGAATCCCATTTGTTATAGTTGGCACCAAAATAGATATGCTTCAACACAACAAGCTCTAGTTAGTCTTACATTTTCTGCTGAAGTTGTCGTAATTGTGTGTGTGTGTGTGTATTTTTTTGTCATCTCTACTTATCATGTAGGTAAAACAAGCTTGCTAAAAACAGCCTCATATTTACCTTATAAATTTGGCTTTTTGTAATTTTGATTGTGACCACTAATTAAAAGTTTGTGTCTGTCGCTGATTGGCCGACCACGGCAATGTTTATATGGACGAGGATAAGATACCGTGCTAGGATTTCAATTTTACCTCAAGGGATTCATAGTTCCTGTTGTGTATTTTGACTTCTGTGCATCTAGGTAGATATATTTTAAGTTTTCACACTTGTTTGGCAGGATTATAAATCAATGTAATATGTAATCACAAATAATGTTAAACATTAGTCTATGTAACAACAGTAACTTACAATTGAATAAAATAAAAAACTAAGAAATTTTGACTGATTGTAGTTGGTCTAGAGTCGCGTAAAATAACATTACACATACTTTGATTGAATTATATAGATTTTTTATTTTTATTTTTATTTTTTTTGTTAACCAAGTTCAATCTAGAGTATCGAACAACATAGAAATGAGTTATTCTTCTTGGCCCAGTCCATCCGAGGGGCATTGCAAACTCCCAACCAATAGGTGGCGCCGCATTGTCCCCCTAGATGGACAAGGCCTACGTTCCTTTTTCCATATAGTAGAACCTCATAAAGATATATATTGCAAACACGCGACCAATAAGGAGGGCATTGTCCATATAGAGAACCCCATAAAAATATATTACTTCGTTACACCATAGATGTGATTCTACCACAAAATTTAATAAACGGTGCATGTTTGGCAAAACTTAAAAATACATACAAGTAAATTTAATTTTAAGTGAACAAGTAAGTTTAAAATAAATATTTATCTTGTCGAATATAAAACTAAGAAAATTGTTCTTACTAAGACTAATTCTTACCTTCTTATCAAAATATCAGTTATTTTGAGTTGTGCTTTGAATTTTGTTTATTAAAAAGGGGATAGTATTTTTCAAATATATGTGAAAACAAAGATGCTCTAAATAAAGACATAGAAACATAATATCGTCAAAATCTCATGTACAAGACATCCATCCGTGGCAAAATTTGACATGAAATGGCATCAAGTAATGCCATGTCATGTACATACAGACATACATGTACGTATAAATACATAAATCTTGTAATAGATACATGTTTTTTCATCCTGTGCAGGATGATATTACAAAGCACTGCTACAATATTATCAACCACTATATGTACCTCATTTTTCTGCCATACCATGTTAACTCTACGTACGTACTAGATTAAAAACAGTGATCATCACACGGTTTTGCTACAGTCAGCTTTGCCAAACCCAACTTGACGATTGGTCGTATCAAATTCCACCCATAGATTCTGTTGATGAAAATTACCTATGATGTTACTCGCAACACCAAGAGATTCGGACCGTCCGATTCCTACGCAATGGACCCCACCTTCTACGTGATCTAAAATTCTCTCCTTGCTGATTAAAATTTCTACACCCTTGTCGAATTGAAAAGACATGTCTCCTATTAACTGTCCAATTTCAATTGGATTGCCATCAAAACACATGTCCAATGAACCTCCATACACGTACCCTTTCTTCAATTTTGGACCTACTAGTCTCACTACTTCTTCCCTTACCTTAGAGTATGCCGTGTCCACTAGAAACGTGTATTGTGTGCCAGAATCGATCATTGTCTGACCGGAACCTCCTGCGTCTGGCCGGAAAACCGCTTCGGGGATGTTCAGTTTTTTCCCACCAATTTTTATCCCTAGAAGAGCAACGGTGAAGGCTAGGGGATCAAGATTGGGCTTGCGTTGACTTTGAGGGAAAGTCAAAAGACTGATATATTGAAATGTGTGTGAATTTGGATTTTGGCCAAGATAAAATGTTCCTGTGGGCATTGTTTGGACACCGCCCTGTCTTAGTGGCACACAATAAGAAAATTTTGATATCTTAGCTTGAGAGATAAACGACAACCGTCCAAGATTCATCCCCAAAATACCCTCCGCCTCGGCGGATTCCGTTGCACATCCAAGAATCAGCGGAGGTGTACTTCGGGAACTAGAAAATGTAAATTTTTCTCTTACGAGATTGCCCTCAGCCAGTGTTCCGTCCGCATAGAAGTAAGAATAGTGGCACAACCGGTTCTGGTCACACGAAGTTGGGATGGTAAAATCGGGAATCCGCGGCTTGCAGATGGGGTGGTTACAAGGTAGAACAGAGAAAGAAGATGAAAGAGAAGGATCAAACGACGTCGTGGGTGGAGGAGGTGGCCTTTTAGGTGACTTCCTGTGGCATTGAATCCATGAAAGTTGACTGCCAGTATCCAAAACCATTTGTTGAGTCTGAGGTGGGGTCCCAATCGGGAGTGAAACAATCAGAGCCATTGAGTACTTGAATGCTGATTTGTAGTCATATGATGATGACCCTGGAACTGGCTTCTGCACCAGTGCTTTACGAGGTTGAGATGAAAGAAGAGAAGCCCTTAAAACTGCTTTATGAGAAGCATTTTTCAATAGAGGGGCTGAGGTTAAAGGAAAAGAGAAAGAAACAGTATTTTCTTGGACTGTTATTTGCATAAAGTTAAACAAAATGAGCAAAACAAAAAAGAGAAACTTGCAGAAGTATTCGATAGCCATAGCCAAAGAATTTTTACACAGATATCGGAAGTGAGAGGAGAGTGGGATGTGAGGGGAGAGTGGTGAGGTTTTGGTTGGTATTTATATGGGATTTGAATCGAAAAAATAAATAAATAAAAAATAAAAAAGGGCCGAACGCGGTTTCTAACTTACATGTAATTTAATGGTTGTATCCAATCTTAATGATACGAGTTAGCTACACACTGTACTGTAGTCAAAGCTACTCGAATCCTCACTCTTTCCTATTTTTGAATTTTCTACTTTTCGTGGGATTTAGGGTTGATTATGATTGGAGGGAAGATATGAATGAGTGGATGACAGCCTTTAGTAGCTTATATGTTACAAACAAAAACGTGTTTTCTCTCAAAATTCATTTTTTGTTTTTGTTTTAAGTTTTTTTTTCCCTAATTAGATTGATAAGTGATTAACTATCTCTGGACGAGTACGTTAGGTTTACTTTTTGTAATCAAATATCACGAAACTTGAACTCGAGATTTTATTTGTTCTGATAAATAAAAATTTAAATTGTTGAGGAGACGACACATTTATTTTTTCATTTTCATCATATAAGTTGATGGGAGTCTTTTTATTGGTCGTAATATATACGTAGTGTGATAATTTTAAATTTATAGTGGTAATTATGAACAACTAGGATTTCATTAGGTGCTGTAGCCTTAATGTCTTTTACAATTTAAGAGTGGGCTGTCGTGTCCCCTATTCCAGTGATTTTCTAGCATTTGGTTTTTTCTCTTTCATTCTTAGGGTTGGTTTAATGGAGTTTTTGTTTGAGTAATGCTATTTAACATCATTAATGTTAAAGTATTCGTCTAAATGATACTAATGTGATATTAAATAAGATATATAATTAAATGAATTACAAATTTCTCTTTTTCATTGAGACAAACACTTAGCATCAATTAGATTGGTGTTGTAGTACCATTTGAGTTAAATAACATTATTATTTTGTTTTTATGTTTGCTTTTCGTAAAAGAGTTTTCTGAAAAGTATTTTTAGATTAGTTTTCTCTAAAAATTTATATAATTAGACAACAAACTTTGAGAAAAATGTTCAAATATATTCAAAAGCAATTTCTTAGTATCAAAAACAACTTCTTAAAATACTTTTTCTTGCTTTTCAATTTTTCTTGCATATTTATGAAATTAAAAGTGGATTAATTGTAACAAAACATCAAAGTTGAAATTAACATATGCTTAGGAATACACAGATGTCCAAAATAGAATAGATTCTCTTCTGTTCATATTGCCTTTCGATTTAGGTTGTAACTGAAACGTGTGGGACCAACAGAGGTAGGGGTGGGGTCCATATGTTTTATTCATACTATTATTTTGATTATAGCATAAGTTGATGCACTCAATTTGGCACTAAATTCCACAAAATCTATGTTCTAAGTTAAAGAAATATTTCACATGATCCATTACCATATGTTTTAATCATACTATTATTTTGATTATAGCATAAGTTGATGCACTCAATTTGGCACTAAATTCCCCAAAATCTATGTCCTAAGTTAAAGAAATATTTCACATGATCCATTAACAGGAATTTGGCCATTTTGCACACTCCCACCACTTAGCTGCCTATTTTAATTCAACTTTTTTGTTGCATTATTAAGTTGGCACTAAATTCCACAAAATCTATGTTCTAAGTTAAAGAAATATTTCACATGATCCATTACCATATGTTTTAATCATACTATTATTTTGATTATAGCATAAGTTGATGCACTCAATTTGGCACTAAATTCCACAAAATCTATGTTCTAAGTTAAAGAAATATTTCACATGATCCATTACCATATGTTTTAATCATACTATTATTTTGATTATAGCATAAGTTGATGCACTCAATTTGGCACTAAATTCCACAAAATCTATGTCCTAAGTTAAAGAAATATTTCACATGATCCATTAACAGGAATTTGGCCATTTTGCACACTCCCACCACTTAGCTGCCTATTTTAATTCAACTTTTTTGTTGCATTATTAAGTTTCCATATTTTTTATTAGAGAAACTTACACTTTAGTCTTCAATCTTTACGAAATGTAACAAATCTAATCTCAATATTTTCTAAAAACTATCCATTCCAACATTTTAATTATTTATCAAAACTTGTAATTCTCTTCATTTTGATCATTAAATGATAGATTTATTAAAAAAAAAACTAAAACAACAAAAATATAAGGAAAAAACTGCAAGTGGAATCACAACATTTTTGTAAGGACAAATAAATCACACTTAAATAATTAAATGCATATTAACATATAAAAACAAAGAACTTAACCAACCAACCAAGCTCACGCACCTCAGACAAAGAATTTGTCTTCTTCAAATTTCCCTTTTTATTGATGTGATGATTGATCCTATTCTTCATTTCAAGCTATATCGAATTTCTTTGTCTTTATAAAAAAATGTGAACGCATATAGAGTGACATGTTACATCACGGAACAACAAGATTTACAGAATAATTGCAATTTATATATAGTGCACTAAATCAAGTTTGTAAAATTTTCTCATATTTCTATTTTATTGCTACTAAATTCAGAATAGTTTATCGAGCCAGGGTGATTTCAGGCTTGATTTATATGCTCAGAGAACAAACCGAAATTTTTTATCTAAAATGATACGTTGAAATAGAGCATATGTGTAAAAGAGTTTACAACAGTAATTCGAAAAGTTATTGATTTTAATGGGTTGCCATTATAATCTTCCATTTTTTCTCAAAAATTTTAAATTAAACTATTACAGATTTCATTGATGTGATGATTGATCCTATTCTTCATTTCAAGCTATATCGAATTTCTTTGTCTTTATAAAAAAATGTGAACGCATATAGAATGACATGTTACATCACGGAACAACAAGATTTACAGAATAATTGCAATTTATATATAGTGCACTAAATCAAGTTTGTAAAATTTTCTCATATTTCTATTTTATTGCTACTAAATTCAGAATAGTTTATCGAGCCAGGGTAATTTCAGGCTTGATTTATATGCTCAGAGAACAAACCGAAATTTTTTATCTAAAATGATACGTTGAAATAGAGCATATGTGTAAAAGAGTTTACAACAGTAATTCGAAAAGTTATTGATTTTAATGGATTGCCATTATAATCTTCCATTTTTTCTCAAAAATTTTAAATTAAACTATTACAGATTTTCCTTTGGTTTTGGCTTTCCAGCTAGTTACATCAAAAGGGTCATTCAGCTTTATAAAGAAGCTTGTTTCTGTTCACATATTTAGCCATGATTTAGAAAAACTATGTTACTTCTAGAATTTCCCAAGTTAATCATTTGTGTTGACCCTTGAGATTTAACTTGTAAAGTGACATATGTTCTTCTGATATAATCAGCTTTTCTATTTGTTTGATCAAGTCAACTAACTTGATTCATACGTGTGTGAATATAATTATTTAGCCCCTATTACTTAGAGATTTTTTTTTTCAAATTAATTGAATATCCTTTCAATAATTCAATTAATAATATGTTCAATCTTAACTCTTACAAAATAAAGTAATCCAATCTTATACGTTTTTTGTGTCTCTCTTTGCTGATTTTTTCATAAATTTGATTGTTAAGATTACAGGAAAAGAAAAATAGCGAAATTAAAATAATTAAGAGAGGCGTTGTCAAATTTCAATTCAATTTTTTCGGAACGTTAGAAACGACACTATGGTAAAATAACAGATTTGGATAAAACTTAGGTCAATTTGATTACGTTGGCTTCGAACTGAAAATTAGAAATAGAAAAATCACATTTTTTGTTTGAGTTAAATTAACTAATTAGCAAATTTATTTAGAAATATAAAATAATTTGACTTATTTAAAATAAATTAATTAAAAAATTAGGGAGATTCGGTTCTTCAGTTATTGATTTAGAATTGAGAATTGAACAAAACCCGTCTGTTCTCGATTCGAATACCCATTCAAATATTTAACTTAAGAATAACCGTTTAATTTCGTTTGGTTAAGAAGTTTTGACCAACCTTACTTACCAAACAAGTTTTTCCAACATGGAATCGGAGTGGGATCGAAAATTCTTTAATCCAGAATGTGCCTATTGATTTCAACTCTGACACTATTGATGTGCAATAGTATTACTGGTGTGCAAGTGAGATATTCATGGAAAGATTAGGTGACAAGAGGAAGTTCAAACAATTTGGACGCCTTAGACAAGATAGTGAACTGTAACTAATCTATTTTTGAATCATATCCACTTGAATGCAATCAAAGTTGTAAGTAGAGACATAAAGCAAGCCAAGCTGGAACCCATAAAACCATGGATATTTGACGGGCCAAGTTAATTCTCCCATCCAGTGACCTTTCATTTTGAGGCACAGAACCCAATAGTTTATTTAAAATTTTCCATTTATTTTTTGGGGAAAACAATTGAAAAATGATATCAGACATGGTCTCCCCTAACTATGAGCAGGTCAACCTTTTTTTTTTGTTTGTTTTTTTTTTGTCCTATTCTAGACTAATCCTTAGGTCTGTGATCCGGTCCCTCTTCACACAGTCCGGTTAATCGCAGGATGTGCCTCCAACTGGTCAGGGTCCGAGCGCTCCCCACCTGGTCTGACAAAGTGCCAAGCAAGCCAATCCAAGTTGCACCTTACCTTCCAAGAATAATCCTTGCCTTCCAAGTTCCCACTTGCCTTCCAAGAATAAATCCTTGCCTTCCAAGAATAAATTATTGCCTTCCAAGAGCCCCATGTTTCGAACTCACGACCTCTGCTCTGTCAGGTTTGACAGCGTCCGTCCTTTGCCAGTGGAAAAGTGCCCTGGGGGGCGCAAGTCAACCTTTCTTTACACTTCTAGTCGCAGTAGAGAAATGATTTATAAAGTACCAAGGACATGACATATTAGTCCACTAATGATTAATTCATCATAAACTTATCTATCAAATATATTGATATATCATATTATCAATACTTAATATAAATTAAATAAGTGTACTTGACTATTATTTTTCTGTACATGTATTTACTTTGTTAACCCTCGTTTGACTCATATTATTTGGATTTATAATTGGGGGAATAGTATTTTTTTGAAAAATAAATGATTGTAAAAGAATGAAAAGTTTTCGATTTGTGTGTAATATTATTTTATTGAAGATTATGTGGTTAAAAATAGGAGAGAGAAAAATTTAAATTAAATTGATGAGTTTTAATGGAGACCAAACGAGGACTTAATGTTTGAATCTATATTATGTAGTGACTAATAGAAGATTGGAATTTCACAGAGATATTTGCATCAATGTGATCAATAATTAAAATTAGCCTGAAAAAATGATTAATTAATTTTATTTTATTTTTTTTTATTTATTTATTTTTTTTATTTTTTTTTGTGAATTCACAAGGGAGAAGGCAGAAAAAGCAAATTAACATGGATAAAGTTAAAGGTGTGAAATAATGGTCACGGATTTATATGTATTTTCAGAAAGTTATCACGGGCTTAGTCGTAAAATTTCGTGAACAACTAATAAAAGTACCTCGTGTCATTTCACATTCTTTTGTTATAGCTGTCTCTTGATTAATTGCAAGCACTTTATTATTATTATTTTTTTTTATAAATAATGAAAACATAAAATTCCGTGTTATTCCCCCCAATTGAAATTGAATATCTATATTACAACTATGTTTGGGGTAAAATTAATGTAATTATCGATGGCTATTTAACATTGTCATATGCATCGAAACGAGTTATTTTTTTTTCAATATTATAGTCATCAATAATTAGTTTCTAATTTTCCATATGCCCTCCACGAAACTTAAAGACAATCTAAAAATGTTTTACGATAAAATATATGACTCAATACCTAATCATAATGTCATCTTGATAAATTACTCGTATGGTCGAGCATGGATGCACACCTTGACCCCAAAAAAATTATAAAAATATCCATACGTTTTACCAATTGACGCTCCTCAACTACTATTTATATATTTTATGATGTCACTATTATTTTCCGGTGTCTATCCACTCTTTATTATACAAACCTAGACTATATAGCCTACATCAAACCAATTATATAAGCATGAAATATTGATAAATTAATTGTTGTGTCAAGTCCCAACAACTTAGGTCTAAAAAGTAAGCAATTTTTAAATTTTAATCTGCAGAATAATTGTCATACTGTCTACAAAACTGCAGCATTTTATAATGGAGAATCGTGACGACGTCCAAAACATTATCGAGTTACGTTCTACCAGCTGGAGATTAAATAGTTATTAATTAATTAAATAATTTGTCGTCGCAATCAAATTAACTACTTATTGGTCAACAAAGGCGCAGCTTGATTAGGTCTGCAAGTGTTATTGATGACTAGAAAGAGGAGTACATATATTAACGCAAAAATAGTTTCTTAAAGTTGAACAATATGAATCTTTTCATCAAGAAAGTGTATTTAATTTGAAAAAAATATATATATTAATCTTGAACGGATTTAAGTATAGTAAATAAATTGGACCTTCGATTAGATGTTATTTTTATTGAAGAAGTGTTGTTGTACTCGACCTTAAACAACAAATTTTAAAAATTGATCTATTGACGGTTCTTACTATTCAAATTCACTAGAATTGTGTTAATGCTTTGCTAAGTTGACGTGGCTCGCTATGAAAATCTAATTTTGGTAAATCAATTTTTTTCTAAAAACACATATGATAATATTATTACTAGTACTCGAAAATTAAATCGACCAATTCTAACATATCTTACCTGGGAATTTGATTCTATCATAATTACAATCACGTTCAACATCTTTCCCCTCCCCAAATATGAACGTTTATCCCTTTCATGATCGGATTCCATACAACTTCTTGATTGAACCCCTAGTCGGCGAAGTCGTGCAAGATTAGTCAAGTTGAGAAAGGGTCTCTTAACTTCCAACTAACAAGACTTGCCTTAATAGTTGATATGAACATGATAAAACCAAAACCAATCAAACAAAGAAATTGACAACAATTAATATTGTGCACGAATTGTGATAGGTCAATAACGAGCCCGAAATGTGCTCCTGGGTTGGGCCCAAAATTTTCCCAACTGTCACTTGTTTGGACAATGGATGTTTCTCAAATCAACATCGCTCTTTAACTCTCCAGCAATGCATCTTAAACACGTCTCCAGTCCATATTCCTTGGACCACATTATCATCCCAATTCCCACGAATGTACATATTTTAACATATATTTCAAGCTTATCTCAGAGAAAGAGAGAATAGATGTAAAATATCATTGAACCCATATTGTGTAGATATGGAGAAAGTCAATATTATGTAGGAGAGAGGCCTGATTGAGTACTCAATATTGACAAAGCATGGATGATGGATGGGGAGTAAATTATAGGGCCACCTCTAGTCTAGAATTAGTTAGGATTTGACTTCAATTGGCTCAAAAATAATGGTCACGCGAGACTCGTTTATTTTATAGACTAGGATTTCAGACGAGTTAGATTTGCGTCTTTTTAGTTGACATCATTCATTTTACAAGTTTTAAAATGTGAATAGCTACGTCTTAATTCATTTTCGAACATATTTTAAATAACTTTTGATACATTCATTGTTATAATGTATCGAAGTGTCCAAAATGTATTACAGAACCAATTAAAGGGACACTAAGTTCGAGACAACATATATGGACCACTAGCTAGTAATAAGGGTTAACTTGTTTGACCATCCACGCCCTTTATATTCAAAGTTCTACCTCAATAACATTTTAGCAGTGCCATTTTTCTTATTTTTTAATAGTTTGGCTTAATTTATAAGCAAATAAACCTTTTATATGAGTAAATTTTCTTTTGAATATGCTCTTTCTTTTAAGTCAATTTGGTATCACAGGGAAGAAAATTACTAGTGTAAGGCCTTGTTTGAGACCCATTTTTACCTCATTAAAATAAAAAATATGACCGTTATCCATTATATCAAGTCATCATTTTTGAATTTCTATCTTTTGTGTGGTGCCCATAACGGCTCTATTTTTCATTCTCATTCTACAAATAATATGGCTCAAACAGGCTCTAAGGTTTTGTCTGTTTCTGACATGAAATATGTCTTCTTCCTTTTTCTTTTTTTTTTTTAAATGTTATAATTTACGAAACTATGAAACGTGAAGTATAATTACCCTTGTATACAATGTGACTTCTTGAAATTTTGTCAGGTGGGCTACTAAAACAAGTAGAGATATAAGAATGGAAGCAAAGCCTTAAAAAACTTAAGGAATCGAGAAATGCGTAAAAAGAAAAATAGAAAGAGAACTTTTATTATTATTAATCAAGACGAGTATATTCAAAAGTATATTAAAACTTTTATACAGAAAATTTAAGTCCATGTGTATAATATTTTGATGTTGTGAGTAGTAATTACTCTCCATAAAAGAATATTAAAAAGGAAAATTTAGTTATCTGTAGTTAGAATAAATTTAAACTTCAGTAATATTCCAATTATGCCTTTTTTTCATAATTGTGAAAGAGAGCTTCCTCTAAATTATTTACATTTGGCAACTATGCTACTTTCCTTTTTGTTGATGAGATGGCACGGGAGTTTGTTTGTGTACTTATTTTGGGGATATTTTTCAATCACTCCTCATTTTTTTTTTTTTTTTTTTTTTTTTTTTTCCCAATTTAGCCTTGTATTAGTAGGTTGAACTACTAATAACATTTTTAAGGTAAAAGCAAAATTTCATTAAATCCATTGAGGTGATTTAAGGAAGAAATGAAAAACAAAAAAGTGCAATAACATGGGGAAAAGTAGGTAGGGATGACAATGGTCTAGGTGCTTGTGAGAGCTCGTCCCATGAACAATTCACCCCGTTACACCATGAGTCCATGGGTAGAGTCAAACTCAAATCTCGATTGACCCAAATTCTACAAGTCCGTGGACTTTGTGAGTCAGCCTATGATCCTACCTTACTTTCCTTGTTTTCTTATTTAATAAAGTTAAATTTCTGTGCTTTTCATTATATTTAGCCCATATTTGGTGCTCATTGGTTTAAAACACTTTTTGCTATAGAATCATTTTCAATCACATTCACATGATAAAATACTTTAAATATAAACAAAAAATATTTTTCACTTTTTAACTATAGAAATAATGGACACCAAACACGGGCTTAAAAAAAATTAAAAAAGGCTCATGAGCTAGCCCAACTCTTTTTATGCAGGCCCATGGACTGAACCCAATCTGGCCCTTTGGCCAGAAAAGCTTGGCCATTCATCTCCCGATCGGTTTATCACATTCTACAGTGAACAATATTTCCTAGGTCTCAAATATGATGAACACCAATTAAGAATAGATACGGCAGTATTCTAAAAACCTGGGACCGAGGCGGATAAGATTTTGACGAAGAAATGATTTTTTTTTGCTTTATCATTAGACAATAAGCTCGTCTCTCAAACCACATTCTTTGATTGTCTCGCAACCTTACTCCCTTCTTTCCAAGGTCTCTCTCTCTCTCTCTCTGAATTTGTTTACAGTTGTATGTATATGCCCTGAATAAGGTAGTTCTTGCTTATATATTGAATCGAGCTAGTCCTAAGCTTCTTGTTGTTTGGGGGATGATTTAATTATTTTCTGTCCTTCAACTTCTGGGTTGGAGTTGAAATTTCTTGTCACACTGGTTTATTTGATCTACTCAATATATGTGTTTTCTACAAATCTGGGAATTGGGTTTAATGTTTATGTACTGTTTTTTTAGTAATTGACTGATTGTCTATTTTCTTAACTTCATTTTTCCTCTTAGGACTTTATGGGGTTCTTCTGTCAGATTATTTTCTCTGTTTTCGCTCTTTCTTTAGAAACTGATGGTCTAATTTGGAAAATTTTCATGTCAAAAACTGGACCACTTACTGTATATGGAATCGAAGGTATATTATGGTTAAGATCTAAATCATAAATCTAACAAAGTCTGTCATTGGAATTGTTATGTATGCTTGACCTGTTGGATTCGGCCTTGTGCTTCACAATTATATTGAAATTCCAAATGCAATATCATGAACAATAAGACCTTCTTGCCTATGTTCAAGCATACTAAACAATTTGCATAATCACTCGTGTGGGAAATGAGTAAGGCCTGAAATTTGATGGCTCTCGATAAAGGCCATGAGCTCACACTATTTGTTGAGAATTTACTTAATCATAATCATGCTCAGCGTTAAGAATCCGTTTTTTGTTTAGAGAGAAATTATACCTTCGTTGAATTCTGTAAACTCTTTTGCTTTTCTTGAACTCCAACAATCACGATCTGTAATTCATAGCTGACTAATTTTTCAGCCTCCAATGAAAATCTACACAGGGAATAAAATTGAGAGAATTAGGGTTTTTACTTTTCTTGTGTTAATAAGAATATGAATGTTCTCTACGATTTTTCAAACCCTAGCAGGCTATTAATATAAGTCCAAACGGGTTTGACCGTCTCTTAAACTTAATCCGATCCGCTATTTAATTAATCCAATTATTTAAATCTGGTCCATGAATTGATTAATCCAGTTAATTAATTCGGGCCTATTAATAAGTAAGCTAATTAATTAATTATCCAATACTTATAAATTATTTAATCGGTAAATCTCATTCTTCTAGTTCTCTTTTTGTGTGTGACCCATTTATGTTCTCAATCACGATACTTAACGGTGTGAATTATTATAGTTATTTTAATTTATCACAAATTCACATTTGTCGTCCCAGATTGATATCTAGCAATGTATCATTGCAATACATGTGACGGAAAATGTCACTTAGTATGATAAAATCAAACTTGTTTGTTTACCATAAAACTATAATCATTTCGTCAATATGATCCGTCGATTTCGAGATATGGATATGTGTCAATCTCAATTATCGATTATATTTTTTATCCTACTATTAAGTCAATGTTAGTCAAAAACCCCTTTTGAACTTATGAGTACACTTTGGTCAATAATTTTATTATCAATTTAACTGAATAAAATGTAGATCATAATCTCTTACTATCTAAGAGTGACGAATTTTTTATTAATCATTCACAACCTTCATATGATTCTTGACATACCCGAACGATGTCGTATTAGATGCCCTTAACAGAGCAACATCCAACATTATCAAAGTATGATTGTCCTTATTTAAGGCACAATGATAATCTCAAGTTAAAGGACTAATTCTACTACCGAATGTTAAAAATTAATTACTGACACTCAGATAGATATCCATGTGGAATCTCCCAGCATATCTCTAATGTTTTGTTTGATAACAAAATATTCACGTGTTCATTTAAGTGTCACTACACTTTAACTTGTAAAATCAACTACTTATTGCACAAGTTAGAAATATCACACGTGATGGTCTATCTGTAATAAAGATATTCGTATCTCGTTATTATTTACGATTATAGATGATTTAAAATTCAATTATACGTAATTTGTATTTCACAATCACAACTCTTTTTGATTAACAAATTACTAAAATTTGAATATACGGACTCTATTATTTAATTTAATTAAATATTAATTAAATAACAGATATGCCATAAAACTGTATCAATTATATATTAAAGGTGCTTATGTCCAAAGTTGATTAGACATTGGACATAATACTTACACTATTTACACAGGATCACTATATTGTGAGCTTGCATTCGGTGATAACCATTTCTGCTGCTTCTCCAATACTTCAATCCCAAATATTATTGTTTAAAGTTTAGAGTATGATTCATTTTCGAAATAATTTCTCCAAGATCTAGTGCTTGCGTATTATAGTTGCATCTAGTATTCCTTACATGCTATTGGTCGTCTAGTTCCTACAAATATAGGATCTTGAAGAATGGATTCGGACATGGTAGTACACAATGGTGGATGCCACTGCAAAAAGGTGAGATGGAAAGTGAGAGCACCATCCAGTGTTTTAATCTGGCAATGCAACTGTTCTGACTGCTCCATGAGAGGCAATCTGAGCTTCTCCGTCCCATTAGAAAGGTTTGAGCTTTTCGAAGATTCCAAACAATTCCTTACCACCTATACTTTCGGCACACACACAGCGAAGCACACTTTCTGCAAAGTTTGTGGCATAACCTCCTTCTACATTCCAAGGTCAAATCCGGATGGCATAGCAGTTACATTCAGATGTGTGGATCCTGGAACAATAACTCATGTTGAGATCAGGCAGTTTGATGGAAAAAATTGGGAGAGATCATACGCTGAATCAGGCATTGCTTCCTATTCGAAAGTGCCGGATAAAAGTTCTGAATGAAATCGTTGTAAGAACAAAAATGTGTTCGTGAAAAATGTAGACTCAAAATTTGCACTCCGTTTTCAGGTTGATGGATTTGATGTAATTGTATCTCCAGCAACTACTGTAATGAGTCAGTGATGATTTCAAATGATTTCAACTGTTGAAGCTAAAGTAAATGATTTAGCATATTCTGCTTCTATCGATATTTAGACACAAATGGATTAAAACGAGTGACCACAAATTTCCAGTTTCTTCACGGTCGATTAAGTTATGGTTTAGGCACTCATATAAGGCAGAGATAGGACCTGAATTGTGCGCATTATGGTACAAATTTCATGAATTATATTGAAAATTTATATATATTTTTTTAGGAGAATTGTAACAATGAACAGAAAAACAAGTGAGTTTGGAGATGCTCAAGTCAAGAATGGGTTTGGCTCTCCAAATTTTTAGTAAGACACATATTTAAATACTTGTTAAACTATTCAAAACATATTTAAATTGATTGATCATTGATATATAAAAAATTATGTTAAATAAAATATGAGAAGAAATCAATAAATATTTATTGATAAAAGTAAAATGAAAGCCAAAATATAGAGCATTGTTGGAGTGTAAAATCTATTACTCTCTAAATTTTTAGATGCTCTCTATAATATATAAGATACTTTTTATAAATAAAGAATATGTTTTAGATGTTCTTAAAGAGCAAACTACAAAATATTGCACCAATTTGGGGAAAAATAAAACGGAGTCGTTTAATTTTTCTTGACCTTAATTGCAAAATCTTGAAATCGTGCCTTGGTGATGAAATTATACACATTAAAATTTTTCATTTGAATTGTCTTCTTTAGACTATTCTAGACTTATTAGTCTTCTTTTTTTCATTTTAGAATTATTTTAGAAGGTTAAAGTTATGAATAACATTTTTAAGGTAAAAGCATATTTTCAATTTATCAAACACTGATTTAATGATGGATAAACGAGAAAAAAAGGTCGAATAGCACGAGAAAAAGTAGGTAGGGGTGGTAGTGGTCCAGTGCTTGTGAGATCTCATCCCATGCGCAATTCACTTCCTACACCATGAGCCCATGGGTTGAGTTGAACTCAGATTTCAATCGACCGGAATTCCACAAATGAAGTCCGTGGGATTTGTGAGCTAGCCTACTATCCTACCTTAATTCCCTTATTTTCTTATTTAATTATGTTAAATTTCTATGCTTTTCATCATATGTAATTTTTTTTTTTTTTGGGTACCCAAATTGTCTAAAAATTTAAGAAGGCTCATGAGCTAGCCCGACTCATATTAGGTAGGCCCCAAGGACTGAACGCAGTCTAGCCCTTTGGTCATCAGGCCAAACTCGGCTCACCTAATGGATAGAGCTGAGCCCGGGTTGTCAATCCATTGGCATGATAAGCTTGCCATATTCACACCTAAATGAGTAATGATATTTATCATTATGATAATAAATTATCAGTGATGTAACAATCCACTATCCCTCACATTTATCTCTCCTCTCCTCTCTCTCTCTCTCTCTCTCATATATTTTGAACTGTCCAATTCCATTATTACACAGACCGTCACATCACCGATGATATAACGATCCACTATTCCTCTCATTTATCTCTCTTCTCTTCTCTCTCTATCTCTCTCACATATTTTGAACTTCCCAATCCTATTATTACACAAAGATTGTCAAATCACTGATGAATAGATGAGTAATTTTAATCATCTTTTGATTGGTTTATCACATTTTCAAATGAACAATGTTTCCTTGGTCTCAATGATGATGAACTCCAATTAACATACATTAGTATTCTGAAAATGGAAAAATACACAACTAAAATACTTTAATTTTTTAATTTCACATTTAACAAACTTATAAGAAAATTTTCAGAAAATAGGTGATAAAATAATAATAATTTTTTTTCTAAATACACAAATTCCCCAACCGACAGATCTCTCTTGAACAAGTTCTCCAATCTAGTAGTTTCTTTAAATTGAAAAATCAATGAATCAAGTTCATTGAAATCCATCCAATCCCCTTCTAGGCCATCTCCAATGGCAGCACCAAAACACCAAATTTCACCAAACTTTGGTGTAAAAGCTCTCCAACATAGCATCAAAGTTAGTTTGCACCATTTTGGTCCACCACTATTCACTTTGAACCATTTTGGTGCAAACAGTATAAAGTCATATTTGCCATTTTTTCCATTTGCCAAAGTAATTGATGGAGGGTATTTGGGTCATTTGTGTTTTATATTTTTTAATACAATAATTTTCATTATTTTTATTATTATAGTTATAATTAAAATAATAGTACTTATTATTATTTTTATTACTTTTGTTATTATTATTATTATTATTATTTAATACTTTCATTAATTTAATGTAATTATTTATTTAGTAATTTATGCATTTGTAAAATAAATTATTTAGAATAAAAAAGAGAGAGAATAAAATGACTAAATATTGTTTATTTGGTATAATGGTTGGAGATGATTTTTTGTTTGGTACAAGATTTGATACAAATTTTGGTGCAGGGTTGAAGATGGCTTAATGAACCACCAATCCTCAATTTCCATCACAATTGCACAACCTCAATTTTCTATTGCAACTAATGCTAAAGTCAATGTACTGGTTGCACATGGTCCAGAACTTTGTAAAAAAATTGCCAACGTCAATTCTGAATCCAATTATTAGGAAAAACTAAACCACTGTCGACCACCAAACTCGTCGTCGTACTCGAATTTTCATTCCTTCCTCAGCTGTCCCACAGATCAAGTCCTCAGTGGTGGCACCGCAACAAATGTTGTCACCTCCAAGGTTTAATTTATTGAATTGGGACAACAGTTAGATTTGTGATGTATTCCTTTTCTTACGAGAAAAGCATTTTTTTTTAAGAATTTTGAGTTTTTAAAGGGAATTGTTGCAGCTATGATGATTTGGGTGTAGATGATGGTGGATTTGAAGTGAAGATGGTTGTGGATCTAGGTGGTAGTGATGAATGGTTGGTGCCGATGATGGTTGAGGGGATGGGATAAGATGCTAGATACTTATACAATAAATATAACATGTGAAAGATATAACTAGTTTAAAAGAAGTGCCCAAAGTGGGTGGAAAATGTGGAATTTGCGTGGGAAGTCGGGGGTTTGGGGTCACATTCCACGCAATAATATAAAAGTCTTTGATTGGGAAAATTTTCTTATGGATGTTCCTTTGTGGTCTAAACCATTTCTAGCTATTTATGTCCATTGTAACAATCAAGCAGCTATTTTAAAAGCAAAAATTCATCCTATAATGGAAAGTCTAGACATTTGTAGAAGTCATAATATTGCGCGTTAGCTGCTTAAGAATGGGGTTATAGCTATTGACTATGTGAAGTCTAATAATATTGCCAACCCATTAATCAAAGGATTAGCTAAAGAGTTAGTTCAAAAAACATCGTAGAGGATGGGGTTAAAGCCTATTACAAACTAGATCACATATAACGGAAACCCAACCTTGCGATTGGAAATCCAATGGAAAGGGTTCAATGAGACAACAAAGTTATTGGAGTGATCTGTGGGGGTACTACATTGGATTTATTCCAAACCCTTCCCTATGATGCGTAGTACAAACTGTATTGATTAGAGGATGAGCTAATACACTTAATATTTACTATAGTTGATATTCAGTGGGGATACAATGCACCCTTCATAGAAGCACCTATTTGAGTGTGGAAATGGGCTCACTTTCTAAAAGACTTGAGGCTAAATCTCTAGGGATGTCAAAAAAATGAAAAAAGTTCACGATTGAAGTGAACACAATCGTGAGAACTTAATGATTATTTTAGAAGTCATGTGCGTGTTTTCTATTGTCTCAGTTTATAACTATAATTGTAGAATTCAAGACATGGTTCACTCTATAGTTAGCAAACTCAATAGTACTACAAAGTCAAGGTTCAAGTCGATAGACACCTAAGCCTGCGTGATTTCTACTGTACTCTAGAATAATATTTATATTTATCTTATTTTCTTTCATGTGGGGAATTGTTAGATATTTATACAATAAATATAATATGTGAAAGAAATAACTAGTTTAGATGAAGTGTCCAAGTGGTGAAAAATGTGGAATTTGTGTGGGTGGTCAGGGGTTCAGGTCACATCTCACGCAATAATATAAAAGTCCTTGGTTTGCCTTTTAATCTTTTCCTTTTTTGTATTTTGGGGCCAGGGTTGGGCGAGGGAGGGTATTTTAGAATTAAGATTTGCTCAGTGTTGTATTATGTTTGACCTCTAACCATAGCTTGACTATTTTAAATGACCCTCGAGCTGATGGCACGATTTCTCTCTTTTTGGTTGTCATATTCACTTATGGCATGACTGGCAAGGTAAATTGACTACTATCAAATACAAGTAGGGAAGGACGGAAGTTCTAATCTTGAGTGGCATGATTGGGGCCTTGGACTTCCATGATTAAAATAAATTAATTTTTATTTCATTTTGATCATTTTTTAAAGTATTTAATAGGTTAAACTAGCTAGTATAATATGATCATTTTTTAACAACCCATTACCTACTAGCCAGTAAATGTTGTAAATATTTTTGGATTATGGTGGTGGCAGTTAGATCCATTCTGCCTATATATACACCCATCTAGTTTTGGAAAAAACACAACAAAAATAAAATTACAACTTTTCATATTCTAAAATTTTATACTCGAGTTTTACATATTTTTCTGAAGTACACTCAAGAGTTCTGAGAAACTATTCATGATTGCTACACAAGTGGTCTGTAATCATTGTATCCTGAGAGTGATTGTCCACAGATGTCGCATTAGTTATCGACGGGTAATTCACTTTAGGACATCATGTTATCACGAGACTCTATCAATCAATAAGTTTTATTTCTACACTTTCTTGTTCTGCTAGTTTCTGCTACCAATTATTTTCCAACATGAGGTCCATATTTTACACTGTTGTGACACCATGATGATTTACTTCTTGTTGCGCATCTATTCTTCTATTTTTTTGCTAGCCTTTACTTTCTACATCGATGGTTTTATTGTAGTCTAACTATGAATTTGTGGTTTTGCTAAAGGTGAAGGCAATGGTAATGGTGACATTGTTTTTGCTAAAGGTAAAGGCGATGGTAGTTTCTCAAGAGTTCTGAGAAACTATTCGTGACTGCTGCACAAGTGGTTTGT